CAGGACACACATTTGTTATTGTCCTCTGAAAGTTATCTGTCTTTATGTCATTTATTTAGTACAGTCTAGCACCTCAAATTTAATGCCTTAATGTTTCGATGATGTTACAAATTTATAAACACATAATTTATAAATAATTAAAACTGAGGGGAAGTGAAAGTGATCAACTCTTACTAATGTCAGGGGTGCAAAAAGGGGGTATGCTGTATATGCGGCGCATAGGGGTGCCACACATGGGGGGGTGCCATTGTGCCAAAACTATTTTTGAAATGATTCTTATTAAAAATTTCAAATAACAAAAATAAATAAAAATGTTTTGTTAAAACATATTTATTTTCTGTTTATATGAGTATTATATTGTATTTTATTAAATAAAAAAATATACCATGGGTTGCATACGTTGACACACACGTTTTCATTCAAAATCATTTAAAACAATAACACGCAGCCAAGTCTAAAGTGTTCATGTAGATGTAACTGCTTACTATTTTTTTATCAAAATAAACTGTCAAATCACACATACAGTACAGCTGAGCTGTAAAGTTATAAGAATAATCTGAAAAAAAAAAAGAAACTCTTATTTTTTATTAATTAATTATTTTGCCAAAATATAAGGGGTTACACAAAATCTTTGTTTATGTAAGTACAGACCTCAATAGATTTCAGACAAAATAGAAAATAATATTTGGATGAAGAAATTCCACTAAATGAATTTTATATACTTGATTATGGCGATTCATAACCCTGTTAAAACTGACACATGAACAGTCATAATTTTCACATTTTTTGTAACTGAAATGTTTGATAATACTTCTATCAAGATCCATTTTTATCCCATATACATGTTTTTGTAAATTTATGATGTATTACATTGATGCGTCAGGCCTTTTGGTAACTGTTTTTGCTCAAAACTATTTTAATTTAGTTAGAAAAAAAGTTTGCCCATAACATTTTGATAAAATAGAACATATAAGGCAGACAGAACTTGAACCCGCACACCCCTCATTAAACGTGTAATTGCTCCCCTGCTAATGATGGATGATATTTTTTCAGGTTGGAATGTTTCAGTATATTAGGCTACTCAGTTCAACTGGACTTAATATTTTACAGTATAGGAATTGTTGACTGACTGGTTGTTTATTTATCATGTTCGAATAAAAATTCAACTACATTACAGAAAAGTGTATATTCTGTGGACACAAGAGAACTAGAGAGAGTTAATGGCGCTGTCTAGCGGTGTGTGGATCTGTCCCGACATTGAAGTACAAAGTATAAACCATAAACCTGTTAAACCCGGTGACTATTAAACTGCTAAACATTGAAACTGATGAAACAAAAACGTACATTAAATCAAATATCAAGTATTTATATAAAAATAATATTTATTATTTTTCTTAGATGGTTGTGCTGCTAAACAATAGTATCGTGTATTGACGATAGGCAAATATATCGCCAAGAGCTGAAACCTGTGACGATTTTAAAGACGATATTTACCTCATTTCTCATTAATGTAGACCTAACACATGTTTTAATTGCATTATTGAATAAAATGAATAGTATTATTACTTTTAAACATCATCATTAATAATAAATTAACTACAAATAATATGACAGCTTCAGCTGCTTACGTCAACATCAACTGACCGACACTTTTGGACAAAAATGAATGATTTCGATTGCTCTCTTGCGCTCTCTCTCTCTCTCTCTCTCTCTCTCTCTCTCTCTCTCTCTCTCTCTCTCTCTCTCTCTCTCTCTCTCTCTCTCTCTCTCTCTCTCTCTCTCTCTCTGTCTCTCTCAGCAGCAGCAGCAGTTGAAGCGCGAGCTGCACATGAGGGCACAGCTACATCTCATAGCAAATTAGTTTGCAACTTTGTTGCGTAAAATAATAGACTAAATAACAAAACTGAATTTAATTAACAAACAAGCTAAATAAAACGATTTGTAAAAATGACACAATTGAAGAAGAAAATGAAAGAACTCTGAAACCAGCTCAAATGTTCTAGGATAAAACCTGTTGCAGTCGTTGATCAATGATCATCATGGGTATGAAATACAGGAGACTCCGGGAAAAAAAGGGAGTGTTGGAAGGTATGGTGATGATTTGCATTGGTTTGAATTAATATCCAAGATCAAACGTCATGCAAATGCAGTCGGTTCTTAAATAGGTAAAAAAAAAAAATCTGCCGAAAGGTTATTAAATATGTTTAAATATGGTCAATTATAATAATCAAATATTAAATATACATAAACGTAACACTGCCGCTCCCCCATGCGATAGTATCGTGTATCGGCGATCTCACCCTGTGATGATATGGCGATCTGAAAGTTTTATATATCGCCCAGATGTAATGTTTGTATTATTTATTTAAAATCACACAAATAATTATTAACCCCCTGTTTATTTTTTAATAAGAAAATAATTTTCTTTTAGTGTTATTTTTTTGTAAACAACACCAAAACTTATTTTTTAATTTTAAAAAAGAAGGAAGACAAGATCACCCTACATAGTATCTCTCTCTCTCTCTAAATATGTATGTATGTATATATATATATATATATAGAGAGAGAGAGAGAGAGAGAGAGAGAGGGAGAGAGTGAGAGAGATTTATTAATGTTCAATTCAATTCAATTCAGCTTTATTTGTATAGCGCTTTTACAATGTAGATTGTGTCAAAGCAGCTTCACATAAATGGTCATAGTAACTGGAACAGTGTGGTTCAGGTTTTAGTGTTTAAGTTCAGTTCAGTTCAGTTTAGCTCAGTTCAGTGTGATTTAATCATTACTGAGAGTTCAAACACTGAAGAGCAAATTCATCGATGCGTAGCTCTACCAATCCTGAACCATGCGAGGCAGTGGTGACAGCGGAGTGGGAAAAAAAACTTCACCTGATGGGAGTGAAGAAAAAAAACCTTGAGAGAACCAGACTCAGTTGGGCACGACCATTTTAATTTCTCCGCTGGCCAAAAGTCTTGTGCAGAACTTCATTCGCCGTGGTATAGGCTGGAAGATGGCCTCAGCGAAGACTCGTCTGTACCTGAAGCGTCGCTGGAATCAGACTCATGTTCTCCACTCCCCACGACCATCAGCGCAGCAGCAGCTCAGGATATGGCCTGGTCCCGGATATGGAATCCTTGGGATCATCACGTCGCTGGTCTTGGATACAATCAGTGACTCCGCCTAATCTGAGGACCTCGGGATGAGTATCCCCAGGTGAAAATACAGAATAAAGAGAATAATTAGCGTAGCTGCTGTTCATAGTGTATATAAGCAAGATGCAGAAGCCTGTGTGCAACCCGCTAGGTGATGCATTGAGTGTATGCTTTACTAAACAGATAGGTCTTTAATCTAGTTTTGAACTGGGAGAGTGTGTCTGAGCCCCGGACGTTATCAGGAAGGCTATTCCAGAGTGTAGGAGCCATGAAAGAGAAGGCTCGACCTCCTTTACTTGATTTTGCTATTCTAGGTACTACCAGAAGCCCTGAATTTTGAGATCTTAAAGAGCGAGTTGGTTCGTAGCGAGACAGAAGGTTGGTTAGATAAACAGGAGCTAGATTATTTAGAGCTTTATATGTAAGAAGCAATATTTTAAATTTAATACGAAACTTAACAGGCAGTCAGTGTAAGGAGGATAAAATTGGGGTTATATGATCATATTTTCTAGACCTGGTCAGAACTCTGGCTGCTGCATTTTGTACTAATTGAAGTTTGTTAATAGAGGATGCTGGGCAGCCAGCAAATAGAGCATTACAGTAATCCAGTCTCGAAGTCATAAAAGCATGGACTAGCTTTTCTGCATCTGAGATGGATAGCATATTTCGTAATTTAGCGATATTTCTCAGATGAAAGAAGGCAGTTTTTGTGACATGGGATATATGGTTTTCAAAAGTTAGATTGCTGTCTAACGTGACACCCAGATCTTTTATAGTAGAGCTAAAGCTAACTTTGTATCCCTCTAATTGTAGATTGAGTTGCGAGGTCTGCTGTGTGCAAGATTTAGGCCCAATAAGTAATAATTCTGTTTTGTCGGAGTTTAAGAGAAGAAAATGTGATATATTGAATAATATGATGTATTGTTAAAATGTTATTTAATTATATATAAATATCACCTCTTTTTTACTGCTAGTTACTGTGTACTGTGTCCTGTTTTTTTATTCTATATGTATGTTACTTTTTATGTAAACTTTATAACTGCTTTGGCAATACTTTTGTAACATTTGTCATGCCAATAAAGCAATTATTGAATTGAATTGAATTAAATTGAATTGAATTGAGAGAGAGAGAAACATGTAAAGCCTATACATATGGGGGGGGTGGGGGGGGGGTCTCGTCTTCCTTTTTTATCCTCGGCTGATTACATGCCTGAGTATGGGGGCGTGTGAAAGATGGATTGCAACGTCAACAGCCTGAGGTATCAAAACATTTGTGCAAAAAATGAAACTGTAAAATATTAAATAACTGCTTTCTTATTGTATGTAGTTTCAAATTATATCATTACTCCAGTTATTGTTGCTCTTATTACTATTATCATTAAAAATAATAATAAGAAGAACAATAATAATATAAATAATAATAATAATAATTATTATTATTAGAGTGATTTCTGAAGGATCATGTGGCTGAAGACGGGAGTAGACTGGAAGCTGTAAATTCCTCTTTAAAATCACTGGAATAAATGATTAAATTAAATTTGAAAGTATTTACGAACAGTTATTTCACAGTGCAATAACATTTCACTATTGTAAAGTTTTTACTGTGTTTTTGAATAAATAAATGCAGCCTCGGTGAGCAGGAGAAGCTTATTTTAATACATTTAAAAATCCTACTGACCCCTGACTTTTGACCAGTTGTGTAGGTTTCAAAGTTATCTGACATAATCAAGTCAGATACACGCGCTCTCTCTCTCTCTCTCTCTCTATCACACACACACACACACACACACACACAAATACTTTAATGTTTAATGTGTCAGTGTCAATGTGTGTGTGCTCTTGTGTTTTCAGACTGCTCGTCAGATGTGGCTCTGCAGGTGATGACATCACGATGTCAAGGGAAACGCTCCTGTGTGGTTCGCGCCTCCACTCAAGAGTTTGGAGATCCCTGTTATCGCGGCACCCGCAAATACCTCAGCGTCATACACACCTGTGGTGAGTTATACACATCAACTTCAGCATCACACACACCTACTGTATGTAAAGTTACACATCAACACACCTCATTATTTCTTTTTAGAATAGCAGAATACACTAAATGTTATGTTTACTTGTCATAATTAGGAACAGCATAATACACTTCTAGGCCTATAGTATGGTTCTAAAACACAATTGACTGTAATATGTACTGTAAATTACTTTAGTATTTTCTTGATGTGGACTGTCATGCACAAAATACATGTAGTCCATTGCGTGTTCCCTCAGAATGGTTTTATTATGATGTACAAGTGAATCGCACAGTGATTTTGTGAACACTAGAGGGCAGTAAACACTTCAGACCGACCACAATTTCAACATAATTGGAGATGCATTTGTGTGTTTTATGTGTGTGTGTGTGTGTGCATGTGTTAAATATTTCCACAGTCGTAACATTGTTTAATGTCAGACTTTTAGGTTTTGTCAGATGATCTCTGACCCTGAACAATAATCTTTCTGTCAGACATCTTGTTTTAAGTCTGACTGTAATCTGCCTTCTGTCAGTTCAAACACACACACTCACACATACATACACACATACACATTTTTGATTTTTGGGTGAACTGTACCTTTAAATTTGCTCATTATTTACTTATCATCAAGTGGTTCTACACCAAGGGTTCTCAGCCTTTTTCACTTTGGGGCCCACTTTTTTTCTCTGAATAATTATTGAAGGCCCACTTGTCAGACATTTTCTCTAAACTGTTAAACTGTTTGTATAAAATGCTCATTTAAAACTTTATTTGTTTATATATACACACACACACACACACACACACACACACTAATATATATATATATATATATATATATATATAAGTGGTATATATACATTTGTGGTATATATATATTTGTGGTGTATATATATATATATATATATATATATATATATATATATATATATATAAACACACACACACACACACACACACATACACACACCCACATACATATATATACTGTATATACATACATACATACATATATATATATATATATATATATATATATATATATATATATATATATATTAGTGGTATATATATATTAGTACATATATATATATATATACATACATTAGTGGTTGGCCGTTAACGTGCTGCGTTGACGTGAGACTCTTTTCGGGCGATAAAAAAAAATATCTCTGTTAATCTATTCTCAAAGTTGGGTTGGAAGCTGGGTCTGTTCTAAGCAAGCTATGATGACTTTCACCTTGATATTTATGTGCAGATGTACCTGACTGAATTGCACTGTAGGTGGCGAGAACGAGTCTTCGAACCTGTGTGTATTCCTACTGTGAAATTACCACATCGAACGTGATGTGCTAACATGAATGCAGGTCACTAGAGTGAATCTAATTAATGTTAGCTCCACATCTAACTATCAGGCACCTGCAGAGTTCATGCGTTCCAGTAAAAAATATACAAATAAAATAGAGTGGGTGCTTTTTAAAATGAATGACGGTGAATGAAAGTCAAACGGGTGAGCCGTCCGACGGACAGAAAAGGAAATTTTTCTGTCCTTCTGACAAAATGTTTGTAAGAATTACAAACTTTATTACCGTTTGTTAACGGCATCTGTTACGGTTGCTGTAAGTGAGATCGTCTCATTTCAAAACGCTCGGTTCAGCCTGTGTGGACTTTGAGAGACTCACCTTTGAAGTCGGCATCCTTCAGAGAATGCAGCTTCTGAAATGAGACACAGCTATTGTCTTGAAAAATATCTAGTCAAATATGATGTGCTGCCATCATGGCAAAGATAAAAGAAATCAGTTATTAGAAATGAGTTATTAAAACTATGTTTACAAAGGTGTCTGTTGAATAGCATTTGAGAAATATTTGAAAAAGCATTTCACAGGAGGGCGAATAATTTTGTCTTTCACGTTGTGTATGTGTGTTTTAAGTTATATTTTAAAACATATATGTCTTCAGTTTGAGAGTGAAGTAAAGGATTTTTCTCCAGAAGTGGATGGCGAGAAGTGGTGCTGATGAAATGTGGATGGATTTGAGGTTATGTGTGGTTCATATTCATCTCTCTATTAGTGTGACTGACAGAGAGTTTGTGATAAATGAGCGTGACTAATGTGTTCAAAACCAATGAAAACCTGCCAGAAAGACAGAAATGGGAGAAACGGACAGAAATGTTTGAGATCATGTGAGCGACAGAAAAAGAGAGGGATGCAGTGCCTCCTACAGGTTTGAAATATACTTGCGATGGTAGACTGATTGAAGCACACCTTTTACCCGCTGCACATGATTACCTGCATACAACAAAAAAAAGTGATTTTTAGTAATATTTTAATTGATATAAAGTTTTAGCTCAAAACACTTATCGGATTATTTATTATAGCTTTCAGAAGTTTGTCATTTTCAGCTCTGAGCATCTTGTAGATGTTTTTGTTGCCTGTGCCTTTAGTGCATGTTCTCCCCACCCACCGTTCCCACATGCCTGTCAGAGTGTGCCTCGGCTGTGTCAGATAAACAGCGCAGTGACAGACATAACTCGCATAACGTTTGTGAGATATACAACAGTAAGAACTTTCCCAATGATTATTTGATGTATTTGTTGTGAGGTTAATTCTAACCTTTCTGCAATGATGAGTCACACACAATGTTGTTACAAAGGTAATTCACACACACACACACACACACACACACACACATGCACAGTGCAAGCATTTAACTTTGCACTGTTTTTGCTCAGCAAATGTGACAGGATACACGTTAATATCCACTGCTGTATGGATATTCGTTATGTTGATGTATAAAATAAACCTGATTTAACATTCACAAACCGGGATTGAAGTGTCTACTTTTATAATTATACTGACATGAGGCTATGGTGATAGAGTAAAGATGGTAAAATCGCTGTAATTCCTTACAAACATGCACTGTTTTAAAAATGTTTTAAACCTGTTAAACACATTCTTGATCACATTTGATGATGATTGATGATCACAGAGAGCCGAACAGATCTTTTAATCCAGTGGCTTTACGCATGTCCTGTGTTGTTGGTATAATTACATGTGTTACTACAGAGACTTAATACGCTGCTGTCAATCAATTTGGTGGGTGGTGAAACCTTACTCCTATGTCACGTTGCGGTCGGCCTCAAAATGGGAGGGATTTTGATCCTATTTTAATGTCAGAATGCTGAAAAGAAGAGATGTATTGTGTTTCTATCACCCCAATATGACTGTGGACACACTATACCTACACACAGTTCTGTCCTCATAGGCCCCCTTTAAAATAAGTGAGTAAATCATACCTGCCAAAACTTGTTTCTGTAAATCCGGGATATGTAGGGTTGTGTGAAAAAAACAGCTGAGAACTGGGTACGAAACTGTACTATGCTATGCACTAGCGTTGGGCTGATAGACAATGCCGTCGTCCATCGCTGATGGCAAATAGACAACACGATGCTGAGTCGGCATTGCAGATCCTCCGCCCCGCCCCCGTCATAAACACGCTCACGAAATACACACACTTAGACCCCATTTTTACTAATACGCTTTAAGCCTGGTTTATACTTCTGCGTCTAGTGACCGGCGTAACCCACGGCACATATAAATCGCGTACCTGTGCATTTATACTTCTGCGCGCTGTCTCTGTTGGTCTGCATTAACACTTCCGAAACGCTACTGGACTGTGAGGTGTTAATGTTCCTCTGTGTCGAGTTTCTTTGCTGGTATTTTGTTTTTTCTGAATGCTTCCTGAATGTACAAGTGGCTCAAACTTGCTAATTTTGATGCAGAAACCGGCAGACGTGCAACAACTTTGACTATAAGGTAAATGGAAAACAAAACTTTCCATCCGGAGCTCCTTCACTGGACTTCACACTTGTAAACAATCGCTCTATCGGACTCGCACAGCTCTCGGTCCCACCCAGACTCGTTAGCGCCACCAAGCCGACCAATCACAGAGCTTACGCTACGCGTCGTTGCGACGTGTAGTTACATATTTTGAGAGGTGCACGTCAGCGATGCCGACGGCCACGGCGTAGCCCTCCGTCCGCTGAAAACGCAAATTGCCAAATTGGTCGACATCGCCCAACCCTACTATGCACCAGGTTTCGTGCGGCCGCTGCAATCGGATACTATATCAGTCGGCGATCTGGGGGTGTAAAAAGAAATTACAGGAGATTTCTGAGAGAAATAACAAAACGGGAGGGTGGCGGGAGATAGGTTGGAAATACGGGAGACTCCCGGGAAAAACAGGAGTGTTGGCAGGTATAAAGGCTGATTTATACTTCTGCGTCAAACACCGGCGTATGCTACGGCGCTGACGCATAGCCCTTCGCCGTGGCCATCGGCCGTCACTGACGTGCACCTCTCAAAAAATGTAACTACTCCACGTCGCAACGACGCGTAGCGTAAGCTCTGTGATTGGTCGGCTCGGTAGCGCTGACGAGTCTGGGCGGGACCGAGAGCCGCGCGAATGGCGCGACACAGCGCGAGCGATTGTTTACAAGTGTGGAGTCCCGTGTAGGAGCTCCGGATGCAAAGTTTTGTTTTGTGTTTACCTCATAGTTAAAGTTGTTGCACGTCCGCCGGTTCCTGCCTCAAAATGAGCAAGTTTGAACCACTTGTACATCCCGGAAGTGTTCAGGAAAAGCAAAAAAGTAGCGAAGAAACTTGACACAGAGGAACATTTACACCTCACTGCCAACTAGCGTTTAGGAAGTGTTAATGCAGACCGACAGAGACAGCGCACAGAAGTATAAATACACAGCCACGCGCGTTGCCTGCGCCGTGGGTTACGCCGGTCACTTGACGCAGAAGTATAAATCAGGCTTTAGTTGACTTTACATAAAGTAAGTAAGCCTTAATTTTTTTAAGTTATTTGCATTATTTCAAAAAATTAAGTTACATCCACTTAAGACATCCACTCAAGTTACAATGGTTTCACTCACATTAATTAAAATGAACATTAATAACTAGTTGCTAATAACTGTTTTCA